TTGTTTCTTGGGTGGTGGCGGGGAAACGATGCACAAACGTCTTTATGCTGCCTGGCATCAGTGTTGACATCCCTGACCTTGCCATCTCATTACTACATTTCCCTACTTGCATCACTGGGAAGTCATGTTTCTGATTTGAGGCCTGTGTCCAAGCCGAAAACATTCGCAGCAAGCAACGGAAGCCTTCGCCGCTGGTCATGAAAGTGGGATGCCGGCATTGCTGGCTTGGTGAAATTTTGTGACAGGGATTTTTGCCGATGGCGTATATCAAATATCGCATGGATCAGATCAGTGTCTAAACCTGACCGCTGCAGCGATCGGGATTCCGTAATTCTTTGGTTGCACAGACCTGACCTGTTGCAGAGCTCGTTCTTGGCAGTGCCATCATCCTGAGGTTCATGCGTTTCTTGCGGCTGCTATACGCCTGGGCGATGCCGAAGCATCTTCGCATGTTTGAAAGGCGACAGCGGGAGTGGTTCGACATGGTTCACCAGACGAAGTCTTCCCAAGACCCTTGCAAGAAGAAGCCGAGGCAAGGGCCTCTTTACGCACTTTTCCTTTTTCCTTTGCCTTTGATCAATCGCTGTTCCAGCAAGCAGGCCAAGGGTTCTAACCCGGTCCCAGCCACGTCGCATCCTGGTGCCTTTGATGGAACCAACGGGCAAAGACCAACGAATTTGTTACATCGCTATGGTTCACCAAGTCCTTCTGTAGACCGAGCTCCAAGAACAGACCCATCAGATTCCTGGGTACAAGTGACGACACCACATGTGCCCGATGTGCCGAAGGTTGGACGCGTTCGTTTCTTTGCGGCTCCTAGCGTGACAGACATTACTCCATGAAGACATGTCATGTCAGAATCGAGCGATCCTGACTCAGCGGCCAACAAATTCTTTAAAAGATTGATCAAAGTGCTTGTCTTGGGCCCAAAGGCAGACCTTCCAATGGCTCTCAGACAGTCTTGCAGTATTGTCCTTGCTTAATCACCATGCTGCTTTCATCGCATAATTTCAAGTTCAACAGAAGCAGAAGCAGGTATCAAAACAATACATATATATATATTTATATATATACAGTATAGTCTAGTACTGTATGGCATGCTGCAGGCCGTGGTCACTCATTGATACTCAATCGAATCCGCACTGTGGACAGCGTCCAACACCCCATGGCAAGATATTGGTTTGGCTTGCTGTTCTTATTGGTCAAGACCGCTGTTGGGGGACCAGAAAGTGAGGTGGAAGCTTTACGCAATCGCCTCCTTCCGCACCTGGTCAACGACTCATCGATGTGTGAGAGACTCCTTCACAAACTCTTTCCCAGGCCCAATCGAACCGAACACGATGGTCTCGATGGCAAAGTACCCCGCTGGTTGCCAGGCAATTTGTGGCGAAGGGCCGACTCGATTGGCATAGGCTATCCTGCAGCTTTAAAGTCCTACGTCCGGCTGCTTGCTCTATCAATTACGGGTTCTCTGGATATTACGCCCATTCACCCCATGGAACCAATGCGACGATGGTGCGGACTTGACTGGCCGCGTGAAGGCTTCTCGATGGTCGGTTTGCTCAGGCTGAGAAATGTGGCAGATCTCTTGCTTGATGTTGTGAGCAATAAGATCCCAGGCGACTTTGTCGATCTTGGGGTTTGGCGAGGTGGCATAAGCATGTTTGCTCGAGGTCTATTTAACGCACTGGAGAGCAAAGACCGACTTGTCCACTTGTTTGATGCCTTCGACTTGATGGTTCCAGACTACGAGCCGGAACAGCGGAAGCTGCTGGCGGTGAGTCCAAAGACGATCAAAGGCTGGTTTGAGATGCTTGGAATCGGCCATCAGGATGTCGTGATTCACCGAGGGTTGCTGTCGGATACGTTGCCACCATTTCATCGAAAGCACAGAAACAGCAGCTTTCAGATATCAGTTTTGCGAGTGGACGTGAATTGGTATGATCCACACCAAGATGCGCTGTACTACCTTTATGAATTTGTGCCCATTGGGGGATATGTGATTTTCGATGATGTGCGCTTGATGCCCAGAATCACCCAGTTTTGGGCGGACTTCCAACAAGATCAGGCTTTCACGGAGGAGCTCGTAGCCATTGACGCTTTCTCAGCATACTTTAGAAAGACCAAGAAAGTAACGATTGACTTTGGAAAGATGAGGACATCAAACGAATCATCGCGCGCAAAAAAGGAGTAGACTGCGACTGGAGTCTGGAATGTTTGTAGCATCTAGCCCAAATAGGACTTCGATAGTCTTGAGGCAGCCCAAACTGAGTTGACCTTTAAGTTGCACTGGAGGTGGTGCCATCAGTACGATGAGCTTCAGGAACGGCAGCTTGGCAGGAAGACCCGCATCGATTGTTTGTGGGTCTGTGTGTACTTTTCTAGTAGTCAAGGAGAGACCTGTTTGTGATTCCTCAAGATTTTTATAGGAGTTATACTAGGAAAAAACAATGCATCAAAAGCCTCAGTTCGGAAATGCCACCAATTTCTCAGGAAAGCTCAGCTCAAGACAGACCTCAAGTCCATGAAGGACTTCTTCGCATGCGTTGAGGCCGAGAAGCACAGCTATTCTTGTTCAAAGACGGGATTGCAGATTGCATGTGTGCTTCCTTGGTGCTTGGTTTTAATGCGTGTTTCCCGTCGCACGGTCTGCTGTGCGGAGTGCAGACCTTCAAAACCATGCCGGTGTTGCCACAGCAGGAGAAGGACTGCACCGCTTGAGTCCACTGAACTGTTGCACAGCAGGGTAGGATCATATATATATATATATATGATATATAATGGAAGTACCCCAGATTAATCCGGGGTAGGGGGTAAATGACTCCGGGTTATTGTTGAACAATTTGGTGGTTTGGCAGCATACAGTTTTTGGGGTTAAGGTCTGAGCATTTGCACAGCAAAGAACTCCAATTTGGCTGGGACAAGGTAGCCATTGCCACGCATTAGACAAGCCTGCTCGTGCAAAAGCATGCATGTGCAACCCACAGATTTGGACCCAACATATAGGACACTGACCTTTCCTCCATTTCCTTCAATGTTCATTCCTTCGATGTTCATTGACTTTCAGGACAAGATTCTGCAAGACTTTACCCGCTTGGACATTGAAAAGAAAGGCCACGCCCTCAAGATCCTCCAGAATAAGATGTTTGGCCATTGAGTTTTTGGGTTTGTGACCGATCCCAGCTTTGCTGCAAATGTTTCGATGGAAGCTTAGAATCAAAGCACCCAACGATCTATTCATGGCAACACCACCAGCTTCTTCAAGGAGTGCCTGTGATAGGTAGTATGATCCATGATTAATATATTTTGTGAATCTAACCAGCATGACAGCAGAAGCATAAGCATGGCCCCATG